TTATTTTGGGCTTGCTGTATGCATGAAGAAATTTTTCAGGAGTTCACACAAGCTCCAGTACAGTTGACTCCTCCTTCGGCTCGTTCAGGACCGCTGGATACGGTGGATGAGCTGGATGAAATGCAGAACAACTTTGTACAGTTTTCGTTCCACAGTGCAACATTATCATCTTTACGTGATGCCAGTGAGGGAATGGATGCATTTGATTAGCAGTCGAATACCGAAACGCTGAGCGGAGTTTTGCACAACTGTTCTTTTGAGATTTTCGTGGCATTTTTGCTGATTGTTGAGTTTTAGCTAGGAAATTCTTTCTGATTGGACCCTGAATTTAGTTTGCAAATATGTTGGGGTGCGCACTGTTTGCGAAAATACATCTGGTATCTTCATTTTATTATCTTTAACAAATCTGAAAACTAACAGTAACAAATCTGAAAAAAAAAAAAATAACAAATCTGTACGGGGCAGTTGTTAGGCTGGGCAAGAGCAGAAATTTCGCTAAAAAATTCACGTTGCGAAAATCTCGGGTTTCAGCTGCTAAATATTAACAGTAACAAAAAGATCCTCTAAATGCTTGAATCACTGTATTGACCGCAGCCTCATCATCAGGGATTGGCGTAGCATTTCACTTATTAGCACGAAAAAAATGTAGAATACACGGAGGCTCTGCAGTTCTGGAAATCCAGAACTTGTCCGTTTGGTATTGAGTACCCAGCCAGCAGGCTTTCTTGTGGCAATGAACAATTCCCGTTGGAGCATATTTAATGAAGTGTTTGCAGAATGTGACCACAATGTGACATGTGTTAACAATCACATGATCCAACCACCCAACGCCGGGTGGTTGAGTCGTGTGATTGGAAATTGGGGTGATGGTTGGTGGGTGCCAGATGCAGCTCCGGGAGTACAGATTGGGTCCTAGTCAGGAGTTCGAGATATTTGGGGGGATGGGGTGGAGTCGAGGAACAAGGGTACTAGCCAGGAGTTCAAGGCTAGAATTGGAAACAGTTGTAAAGAGAAAGAAACAACACAGCAGTGCAAAAAAACCTGTGAAAAAAGAAATGAAATTAAGGAATTGGGATCGATCAGGAAAAGCTAGAGGAGGCCACAGCAAATAAAAACTGAGCTTGTGCGAATGGAAATTGTCTTATCAAAACCCGTCTCCAGTAATGAGCTTTCCTATGCATGAAGCCGATGCTTAGGTAAAGCTGCGAGCTCTCAGCTTTATTTTATTCGCTCTTAGCTTTACCTAAGCATCAGCTTCATGAAACGAGAACTCTTCTAGTAACGCTGAATTTTTATAGCACAATTTTCACTCGCATAGATTCGGTTTTTTTTTTTTTTTGCTTTCACTCATAGGCCCACTTTTTTTTTT